AGCGTCGTTAGGGAATCTCAGTGCCATCTCTGCCTGAGCCAATGCACAAATTGCTGCCTGTGGTGCAGCCTCACTGATAACTGCGTTTTTTGAGTACAGAGCGGGGAGTTGCAACGGCACTGGCCACATGAGACCTTCACGGCCTAAATAAAGGATACTGTCAGTATTGCTCTCAGAAGAGTGGGCTTATAGCTTGGCAGTTCTGATGCTGGCTTGCAGGATAAGGCTAGTACTGATGGGATCACAGACTCTTCTTTTTCATACAGTGAGTAATAGAGATGGGCCAATTGCTCTTTCCAGTGTGGTCTTCTGGAGGCAGCTAGTGCTCTCTTCTGGTACAGATGGACTGCCTCCACTGTTGTCGTTTTGTTCTTCTACCAGGTGCAGATGTGAATGAAATCAGCTGAATTTATTTGAAAATAGTAATATTTCTGATCTTATCCTTGTTACTTCATTGTGATGGAACAGTCATTATTTTTAGTAGACACATGTTACTGATTTGGCACTTACAGCTCTGAACATACATTCTGTGGATGGAGGAATACAGTAGCCAGAGATGAGAAGATGAGTCTGTAATTTTTCCTAGCTATAGTTATAGACAAGCTAAATAGTATGCTCTTGTTGGTGGGGAAAGCATTTTGCTACTTGGGGATTGTACTTATTTATTTATTTTCCATGAACTTGCTTCCACCCTCATTGGTATTTGTGGATATCAGATCAAAATCTTTCTGGTCACTGCCATTGTACGTTTATAATTCCTTGGAGCGTTTCCCCTCAAACATTGCCATCTAGAGTTTATGGAATAGCATGACCACTCGCTAACAGGACAACATACTCTGTGAAGCTGCCTTTAGGAGACTTCAGTCTGAAATGATAAAGCACCACAGTTCAGTGCACTTAGAAGAGTATCCTTTAGAACTGAGGTTTCAGACTGTCCTGAGCTCTGAGTGGCCATTTATACTTCTGGAATGCTTGATGAAAGAGTTTGTTTCTCTGAGAAAACTGAGTGACCACTTTTATTTTGCCTTTGCAGCTTGGGAGAATTCTTCGAAGCCCATTTATGAAATTTGTGGCACATGCAGCATCCTTCATTATTTTCCTAGGCCTGCTGGTGTTCAATGCTTCAGACAGATTTGAAGGTATAACAACGCTACCAAATGTCACTGTTACCGATTACCCTAAGCAGATCTTTAGGGTGAAAACTACGCAGTTCACCTGGACAGAAATGCTGATCATGGTATGGGTACTTGGTAGGTATATTGCCCCTTCATCTTTATGTCAACTGTTTTGCTGCAGATACAACTTCTGAAAGAAAGAAGAAAAACCCAGGTCCCAAACCCCTGCTCTAGCTGCTGGGCAGTTAGAATAAACCCTTAGGGCAGATAACAGTGTGTTAGAACTGGTGAGAGCATCAGAACATCTCTGTGCTTCCTCCTCTTGCAGCATGGAGTAAAATTTTGTTTGCTGATTTGCTGCACTGTTTGGTAATTCTGGCATTTGTAGCAGGAGTGCAGGCTTGCTGAAGAGAACACCACAGAAATTACACTTTACTGAAGTGGTTTTCTTAAATAGTATCAGGAAGCCTATGCTGCTGTACGTGCCAGAAGGTCAGAAGTTCCTACTGCTTACTGTTAATGTACTAGCACACCAGTGCGTACGTGGCATTGCTGCCTAGGTAGCATTTGGGGAAATCACAGTTTCTACCAATGTCGGGAGCTAATGAGTCAGTTTTCATTACTCTTCCCCCCCACC